CCGTGTGACCAAAACGTTTACAAATTTGACACGGATCATCATAGCGCCAAAAACAATTGGCTCCCGTGTGACCAAAACGTTTACAAATTTGACATGGATCATCATAGCGCCAAAAACAATTGACTCCTGTGTGGCCGAAACCTTTACAGATTTGACACGGATCATCGAAGCCACGTTGCTGACCTCCACGGTAATTAAGGTTGTCATCGCAGCGCTGCATCTTCTTAATTTTATGAATCACAAAACCCTAGCTAACTGATACCAGATGAGAACTGATTGTATTATATTTTCTGAACTTGATTACAATGAGATCAGATGATGTGAATATATAGAATAGAGAGTCACAGTGTGACAATGATAAGAAGTAGAGAGTCACAGTGTGACAAGGATAAGAAGTTCTAAACAGACTCATATACATAGAGTCCTAATAGTGATAAGTTTAGTGGACTAGGCTTGCAAAGCTGGATCACCAAGAAATTTACAAAATACAAATTGATACAGAAACAATTGTCATGAACTAAGTGGATTGTGGTTGAACTGCTTCGTTACGTTGACTCCAAGTCTCCCCTTGGACTTAGTGAACATGAAATATCTTCACACAATATGGTTTGATGCCCTCTAGCATCTTTCAAAGAAAGTTACGTTGAATCACAAAACACTTCAATATGTGTTTCGACTAAATTTTAGTACTACTCATCACAATTTAACACATAATATGGAGAGAGATATTTTTCACTAGCAAGATTTTGAAATGAGTGTAGAATGTCAAGCCACTTGTCTGCAGCTATCTCCTGAAAAAGATCTTCATATATACTCTTGCTAAATTATTTTTTAACAGTCCACCAGATTCTTGTTATACCATGTGATTTCTGTTAGTTTTGAGTATGTGCGGTGTTTATAGTCAAAAAAATCTGAGTGAATTCCATTTTTGGTCCTACTGTTATAGGGGTGTTTCCAATTTCAGTCCACTTTAATTTTTTTTGCCACTTTACAACCACTGTTATTGAATGTGTTCCACTTTTAGTCCACCGTTAATATTTCCGTCAAGAGGTCGTATAATCAAAGGGTATTTTAGTCTTTTTATGTTTGTCTCTTGTCTTTTAATCCAGGCGCTTCGTCCTCCTCCTCCGATATTCGAAGATGGCTCTTCGAACAACGAGAATGGGAAGCCAAAGCTACATCGTTTCGTTCGTTCCAACATGGGCCAGCGAGGTTTCTTAGGTTTTAGGTTTAATGTTCTCATTTCTTTAGTCAAACATAGTCTTGGATGAGAAGAAATGTCAAAATACCCCTAGATTACACGGCCTCTTGATGGAAATACTAATGGTGGGACTAAAAGTGGAACATATTCAATAATAGTGGTTATAAAGTGGCAAAAAAAATTAAGGTGGACTAAAATTGGAAACGCCCCTATAACAGTATGACCAAAAATGGAATTCACTCAAAAAATCTTTATTACCATGTTCAGGAAAAACTATTCATTTTTTAACATTCTAGCTTGTAGTCCTTTCCTAGTTTGGTTTATGGTAGCTTGGTTACTCATGGAAATGTGGTATATTGTGTGTTTTAGGGTTTTGGCGATATATAATGGTGATGTTGGTCGAAGTTAGGGGTGCACGAAACAGAGAATACGTCAAGCACGGGTGGAGAATGGTTACTCAATGTATGTGCTTCATCAATTCGACTACTCCTTGAGGTTTTGATTTACATGAATTGATCAGATATGAGTATAAAGCAACTGGTGTTGCAATACTTTCAAAGCAGAAGGGATTCTACACCACAAGGCCCACAAGCAACTCGTGATTATCAATTTCTAGCAGTACGTACTCTTGAACGTCAATAGATACCGAGAAGTGATCTTATTGTATAAGTGTTTGTGCAATTATATACTTAATTATGCTTAGTAAATTGATCTTGATATTGACTCGTGCCTCGTGGATTCAACCGTGTTAACACTCTGGTGGCTTATTTGCATTCAGTCGTTCTATCTTTTAATTTATTTGTTGCATGTTTAAAAAACTGATATCAGGACTCCAGTCTCACAATTCAATATGAGTTAATAAATCTGATACTCCAAAGTCTTTATGCACCGAGTATTTTTTTTTTTTTTAATTGGTATTGGAGCATGTGTCGCTTAACATATTAGTGAGATCCAAAATCTTGTACTCTGAACTATATGTAATATCATCACTTTAACTACTTGTCTGTTTACCCTTTGCTTAATATACTCATATTTAGTTTTCGGTAACATTCTTACGTCAAAATGATAAACAAAATAAGTTTATATTTAAGGTAAAAATAGTTACATCCAAGCACTTATCATATACTACTAGTATTTTATATGCGTAATGTGCACAAAATAGGTGCTCAATATTAATACTTTATATTAAAATCTTAGATTTATTTAGATTCTAGATAATTATATTATTGAAAATAAGAACAACAACAATAATAACAACAATAACAACAACAACAACAACAATAATAATAATAATAATAATAATAATAATAATATAATAATAATAATAATAATAATAATAATAATAATGTAGGACATTTTATAAAGTTGATATTTATATTTTAAGAAATAACTAACCTATAACCCCAATATATAAAGTGTATATGTTATTATTATCGAAGAACATAAGAAAATATATGGTGGATGCATGTGCAGGATAACAATATAGTGGAAAACATAACAGAAGTTATAACGGTAGGGGTATGTTTGTTCAAAATATTATAGCATATAGTACAATTCTTATAGCATAATGTATAAAAAGCGTAATGAAAAAATGAACATAAATGAAGGGTATAACCTTCATTCACACTTATTAGTTTTTTTTTTTTTTTTTTTTTAATTATAAACTAGTATTTGCGCCCGTGCGATGCACGGAATAGATTTATTGTAATATATTAAGAATATTTGGATTGATATATAATTATTTAAATTAGAAAATCAAATATTATATAGTGCAATTGAAGATGTGATTTGAATCATTTATATGTTTTGATGTTATCATTGCTTGAATTTGAACAAATAATTGCTTAAATTAATAGCTAATATATAGATGTACGCATGCGGTGCTGTAACTTTGGAGATTTTATTTATCATCACTTAGTATTTTTTTATATATAAATTAGGCAAATGTGCTCGTTCTCTAGCAACTCAATTATAGCAATGAATTGTTATCTTAATTCATTTGTATATATGAAAGATATATTTTTTTGTCTAGATATATAACAATTTTGTCATTTAAAAAAACATTTTTTTTTGAAAATGTCATTTAAAAAAACATAATATCACCAAATTAGTGATCTTTTTCTTTTTGATTTTCAATCAATTAGAATATCAAATGTAGTACTTACATCGGCTTTTATTCAATAACCTGAATTTTTCTCTCTAGGGTTTGCTAGAGTTTTCTCCTCCCCTAGGGTTTGCTAGGTTTCCGACGGTTTCCTACGTTTTTCCCGGTGATCATCACTGTTTGGCGACGCTAGTCGCAGCGGGCAAGTGCGTATGGCAGCGATGGTGGATGGCTCAAAAAACTTGTTTACGGCGGGTTCTAGATCACAGACCCGCCCAACCCAATGAGTACGCTGAGTTGGAACTGCCGTGGCTTGGGTAATCCACGGACAGTTCGAGAGGTGGTGGACATGGTGTCCAAAAAGCAACCCGACTTTGTATTTCTAATAGAAACTAAGGTAGCGCGAGATCATGCTGAGCGTCTTCGTGTTACGATTGGTTTCGAAGGCTTATTTTATGTTGACAATGATGGTTTGAGTGGTGGATTAGCATTATTGTGGAAGAAGAATAATACGGCGAGACTCCTTAGTTACTCAAGAAACTACGTTGATATTGAGGTAACTATGACAGGTCATCCGGCCTGGAGAATGACGTGTTACTATGGTTATTCGGACCGTAATAGGCGTGCTGAATCATGGGATTTGTTGAGAATGTTGGCGGCAAAATCGAATCTCCCGTGGGTGGTGGTGGGGGATTTTAATGATTTGCTATACCAGTATGAGAAGAGAGGGGGAAATCCACATCCGAATAGCCTTCTTCGAGGTTTTGGGGAGATGATTGAGGATTGTGGATTGGCCCAGTTGTCAATGATTGGATACCCATATACCTGGGAGAAGGGGAAAGGGACTGCAAACTGGATTGAGGAGAGACTTGATAAGGTCCTAGTAACGAACGAGTGGCGCAATATAATTCCCCATGTAAAGGTTATGAATTTGAGAACCAGGAAGTCAGATCATTCAGCCATTTTTTTCACAGTTCAGGAGGAGGTAGGGAGGGATGGGGTTAGAAGAATGGGTTTTAGGTTTGAGATGGCATGGTTATATGATGAGGGATGTAGGGGTGTGGTGGAGCAGGCGTGGCAGGAAAGGAGAGGGCAGGGTTTACAGGGTTGTGTTCAATACTGTGGAAACCGGTTAACACGATGGGGTGGGGATCGGTTCCATAAGTATGGGAAACAGATTGTGCAGCTGAAACGGGATCAACAACGTTTGAGAGGATGCACTGACTCGGCCTCTCTTGTCGAGTTTCAGCGAATAGAGCAACTTCTGAGTCGCACTGAGGCCCAGGAGGATGCATACTGGAGGCAGAGGGCCAAGCAGCACTGGCTCAAGGAAGCTGACGCCAATACCAAATTCTTTCACAAGTATGCCTCTCACCGAAAGAAGAAGAATACTTTACTTAGATTAATGAATGACAATGGGGATTGGTTGGAGGGGGATCCCATGAGAGATATCATTCTGGACTATTTTAAGAATATTTTCAGCTCTGGGGGTCCGGGAACTGGAGATGATTTTTTTGGGGGGATAGAACCCAGGGTATCACAGGCGCAGAATGACTCACTATTACGGCCATTTAATCTGGAGGAAGTAAAGGATGCATTGTTTGCAATGTATCCGGATAAAGCACCAGGACCGGATGGAATGAATCCGGGTTTTTATCAGCATTTCTGGGATGTGGTAGGAGGGGATGTTGCGAGTTTTGTGCTAAACTGTCTTGAATCAGGTGACCTCCCGTCTGGCTTGAATGAGACAGATATTGTGTTGATCCCTAAAAAGAGTAATCCAGAGTTAGTAACTGATTTGCGCCCTATAGCACTTAGCAATGTCATTTACAGAATAATAGCTAAAATGATGGCTAATAGAATGAAGCCTTTGATGGAAGGAATAATATCTGAGACACAAAGTGCTTTTATCCCAGATAGATTGATAACAGATAATATTCTATTAGCTGCAGAAGTGGGGCACTTTCTGAATCGAAAACAGTGTGGATTGAGGGGCTGGGGTGCACTTAAGCTGGATATGGCTAAGGCGTATGATCGAATGGAGTGGCCTTTTCTCCGTAATTTGATGATGGCATTGGGTTTCCATGATAGATGGGTTGATTTGATTATGAAATGTGTGACCACAGTCTCCTATAGTATTCTGATAAATGGCTCAAGGAGTGACCCAATAATACCCACGCGTGGTTTGAGACAGGGAGACCCGCTATCCCCATATTTGTTTATTATCTGTGCAGAGGGACTCTCGTTGTTACTACAACAGGCTAACAGAGCGGGATTAATTCATGGATGTAGGGTAGCAAGAGGTGCCCCTCAGATTTCTCATTTGTTTTTTGCGGACGATAGCCTTTTATTCTTTAAGGCTAATGTGGAAGAGGCTAATGAGATAAAGAAATGCCTGACTGTATATGAGGATCTATCGGGACAGGTGGTTAACTACCACAAGTCGAGTATTTGTTATAGCAGGAATACGAGTAATGTGGATAGGGAAAGTGTGGCCCAAGTTTTGGGGGTGGAGCAGGCACCAAACTTTGGCAAGTATTTGGGTCTACCTTCGTTTGTGGGTAGGAATAAAAAGGCAGCTTTTGCATATATTGAGGATAAAATACGCCAAAGAATTGGGTCGTGGAATAAAAGGCTATTGTCTCAGGCAGGGAAAGAAATACTGTTGAAAAGTGTGGCACAATCTATGCCTACCTTCTCAATGAGTGTTTTTTTGCTACCTATATCAGTATGCACGGCTATAGAAAGAACGATGAATAGATATTGGTGGGGTTCTGGGACGGACAACCGAGTTCACTGGAAGGCTTGGGACAAGCTATGTGTTCCTAAGAAGTATGGTGGATTGGGTTTTAAGGACCTACGTGCATTTAATCTAGCTATGTTGGGGAAACAGGCATGGCGAATGCTCACTAAGCCTGATTCCTTAGTAGCTCGTGTTTACAAAAGCCGATATTTTCCCAGGGATACTTTCTTTGATGCGCAGGTAGGAAATAATCCCAGTTTTTGTTGGCGGAGTATAATGGCATCAAAGAGCATAATTTGTAGTGGGGTCAGACGAAGAATTGGGAATGGGGAAACTACATCTATATGGACCCATCCATGGTTACTGGATGGCCAGGACCCTATGATACAAACAGAGATGCCTATACAGTTACGAGAGGCCAGAGTAGTGGGGCTAATAGATCAACAAACTGGTACATGGGATAATGAAATTTTATCAGATTTATTTCAACCTACGGATGTCGAGAGAATTATGAGAGTACCTGTATCCCGGGATTATAATGATGCATGGTATTGGTACGGGGACCCAGAGGATTATATTCTGTGAAAAGCGGGTACAGACGATTGGTGGGAGATTATGAGAATAATCAAGACCCCTTTACTAATTGGTTAGCTTTATGGAGACTAAAAATTCCACCAAAGTGGAAAATGTTCCTCTGGAGAGCTATTTGTGATATTTTGCCTACAACTACGAACTTGCTTTTAAAGAGGGTGGAGGTGAACCCATATTGTGCTATGTGTGGGATATCACATGAGAATACAATGCATGCATTAGTCTTGTGTGATTTTGCAAGAAACATTTGGGATCAATCCAACCTTACAATCCCCAATATTGTCACGGATATTTTTCATGTTTGGTTTGGGGAACTTCTAAATATTTTAGATTCTGATGGAATGTTATATGCAGCATCAATTCTATACAATATTTGGAAAGCTCGAAATGGTGCAGTTTGGGAGGCATTTTTACCACGCCCGGGGTCCCTACTCAGAGCCGCAGCGGCAGCTAAGACCGCATGGACTCAGTTCCGCCCAGCCGTGGCTGCCACTGCCACTGCTACGCTGCCGACAGAAAACCGCCACGCTGCCCAGGCGAGTCCCACCGCCGGCCGCGGTGCTGCCGACGCTGCCGGATCCTCTGTGCCGCCAGTGAGAAGATGCAGGGTCGATGCGGGATATCTACACGAGACAGGGAATGCAACTGTAGGGGCCGTTTTATTAGATGGAGATGGAGCCTATATCTCGGCACTAACCGCGCCGCTACCGGCCTGTACGTCACCACTTATGGCTGAGGCTTTGGCGTGTAAGGAAGTTTTATCATGGCTAAAGGATCGAGGTGAACAGAATATTGAGATCTACACGGATTGTTTGACACTACAACGCTACCTTACATCATCAACCACTGCGTTTCGCTCTTACGTTGGCTATGCCATTGATAGCTGCAGGCAAATTGCCGTTTATTTTCACTCATGTTCTTTTAATTATATTTCTAGATCGGACAATTATTTAGCTCATGCTTTAGCCACTACGGCTTATCAGCAACCTGATACTATGTACTGGGATACTCACCCACCAGACATTATTTCAGCATTTTTCTAATGAAGCACCGCAGAAAATTTTCAAAAAAAAAGAATATCAAATGTAGTGATATTTATTTTCGTTTCATTTTTAATTATGAATTTTTAATTTCTGTTTCATTTTTAATTATAATGCAATGATCTGGCCATTTGTTTTTTAATTTTAGTCAATTATGGATCATTAATATTAATTTCCTTTTATATTTTCAATCAATTAGTCAATTAGAATATATATGCAGTGATATTTTTACCTAATTTTCGTTCTATTTTTATTTAATAATGTAGAATATTATGAATATTAATACTAATTTTTCGACAATAACTGCATCTAATATGCCCTTACTCTTTAAAAACTTAACAAAATTAGGCTAATTTAAAAAGGAATCCAAAGCTAAAAGGCAAATAGTCTGGAACATCTATATTAATGAAATTAAGGGTTTGACTAAAATGCCCTTGAGTTTGGGCAGAAAAATTGGTTAGGATGATTATATATATATATATATATATATATATATATATATATATATATATATATATATATATATATATTATTTTATTATTACTTAGGGTTTTTATTATACTTGAATAATAATATTACCAATTAATATATTTTAATTAATTTCTATTTGATATTTACTTACCAAATAAGCTTTACTACAAAAGTTTGGGCAGAAAAATGCAGTAGGAGGATTTTGTTTTTGTATAGATATAGATATAGATTACGCAAACTTTAATAGTATATAGAACTATTTTGGGCGGGAAATTAAAATGGATAATTTTATTTTTATTAATAGTATAGAAGTATAGATTAGATTAATAGTAAAATAACGCTTGTAATTTTAATCTAAATTATTAATAAACGATTCTTTTTTTTTTCTTTGTAAAATCTTATTTATTATCATATTCATTAGATTAATAGTAAAATAACGTGTAGAAATAATTTTAGAACGTTATGACTTCTCGAATTACATTTTTTTTTTATTTTTCCTTTTTTACTGCTAACCTTATTATTATTAAGTGTTTGGGCAAGAAGTTTAAGATGAGGATTTTGTTTTTAATAATAGTATTGATTGATTAGATTAATAATAAAATAATGCTGTGTAATTTTAATCTAAATTATTAATGTCCGATTTTTTTTTTCAAAATATTTCTTATATTCATATTCATTACAAAATTAGTAAAATAACGCATAGAAATAATTTTCGAACATTATGGCTTCTCGAATTACGAATTCTTTTCCATTTTTCCTTTTCTATTGCTAACATTATTATTATTAAGTGTTCGAGCGGGAAGTTAAAAAAGATGATTTTGTTTTTATTAATAGTATACGTATAGATTATTAATAACCGATTCTTTTCTATTTTTTTTGAAAAATCTTCATTATATTCATTAGATTAATATTACAATAACGACCTGTAATTTTAATCTAAATTATAAATAACTAATTATTTTCCTTTTGTTTTTTTTTGTTTTGTTTTTTGCAAAATATTCCTTATATTCATATTCATTATAATAAAATAACGTGTAGAAATAATTTTAGAACATTATGGCTTCTCGAATTACAAATTCTTTTCTATTTTTTTTTTACTGCTAACCTTATTATTATTAAGTGTTTGGACGGGAAGTTGAAAATGAGGATTTTATTTTTAATAATAAGTATTGATTGATTGGAGTAGTGACGGAATAATATTGTTGAATAGGAATATGAATTTTAATATTATTGTATTGTATTACAAATAGAAATTTTAATGTAGAATTGTAGTACAAATACAAAAGTAGAAAACAATATATTCTATTAAGAATTGTATTAAAATGGAAGATTTTGTTTCTATTCATCCAAAGGATGATACTCCCTCACTTTGAGAGGTTGCTCCCACACTGCCACTAGTGAGACTTAATCCCTGGTCATTCTTCCAAAGTTTCACCTCTATGACCAGTTGAGCTACCCATGTGGGCAAGATTTTGTTTCTATTAATAGTACAAATTCCGGTTTTTTTTTGTTTTTTTCATTTTTTCTGTTTGTATTGCTAAAATTATTAGTATTAATCAATGAATTATGAATCTTTTTTTTATTTTTATTTTTTACTGCTAACTTTTTTATTGATTAGTATTTAGTATTAATCAGTTTCCCTTTTTCATTTTTCTATTGTTTGGGCAAAAGTGTTTGGGCGGGAATTCAAGAAAAGAGAATTTTATTTTTAATAATAGTATAAATATAAATTATGGTAGTACATTAATATGTGAATATGGAAACAATATTACCAAGATTTTAATTAATTGTTTCTTTGTACGTTAGTTTCTTTATTCTTCCCATTAATCCCCCTATCAGTATTGCGTTAGTTTGTGATAGTA